AAAACGTCGGAGATTGCAATAGCTGGGTCACCATTGGTAAAATGTGGATTATCACGACCACCAGATACGGCAATACCAAAACCATATCCAGGAACCCTGGTAACGGTCACTTGATGAATTTCCCATCCTCTATCACCACTCTAAAATAAAGAACAACAAAAAAAAATATTAAATTATAAACATTTCAAATATCGCGCGAAAGTCTGAAAATTTATTTGGCGCGTTATTCGACAAGATGGCGTTCAAATTTAAATCGAACTATTTGCGACGGTATTAAATTTACTTGATATCTATCGTTTGATAAACGTGAGGTTCTTTTTTTTTTTTTTTTAATAAGTAATATAAGAAATTAAACGTTGTTGAAATTTAATAACGTACAGGATACTTTAAGCAGGAATAAAGCGTAAAATTAGTGCATGTAAGTTTCTTGAATATCTTTGAAAATGTTCTAGTAATACAGTGTAATTTACGAAGCGTTAAAATGAGGAATATAATGAGGGACTTTCTTCGAAGAAAGATTCAAGCGTATCGTCTGACATAGGGATGAGGGAATTTATATACTTCAAAAGGGAGTATATATAATACTTTTCTTAGAATTCAATAGAACGTTGACAGTATTCAGTACAGACCGTGTCCTAGTTGGATGTGTTTTTTCTTTTCTATTTTCTTTTACTTCTAATCGGTACACATTGGTATGCTAATGGTTAAATAATTCCTTAAAAAGTTTCACGTAGCGAAATAGCGCTGGTAGTAAAAACATGCAAGTAAATAGAGTTGGTGGTGTGTACACATAGTTTTAAAAGTACATAGATCGAATAAGTCTTTCTCTTTCTAAATTGCAAGCACGAAGGTTTTCTCCTACGCGGAGTATTTACGACACGATTCTCTTCTGGAATGCAAAATGATTTACGTTATATCGAAAGGAATTTAAACGTGCATATATATTTACATATTTATTTATATATATATGGTCATAGTTTTTTTCTTTTTCTTTTAGTTATGCAATTATTAAAATTACAAAGAACCTTATTTTCTTTTTTTTTTATTCTAGAAAATAAATTATTCATTTTTTCAATAAAAATATTTTCTCTTTTGAAAACAATTTTTATACTAATTAATTTTTGGTTAATTATAAATTGATACGAAAGAACATATTTTAATTTTAAATGAATCATTTAAATATACGTTCACATTGTAAACGAGTTAACTTGTTTAAAATTACCGCGTAAAAATAATACGCTAACGAGTTGCCCCCACCCTGCCCCTCTCCCGCCGCCCTCCCCCCGCCGGCGCCCTCCTTTGTTTCGCTTTTAAAGTCGTAAACAATGGAGTTTGGTCTCACGACGATCTTTTGTATTCCACCCTAGGCCCTTTTTTAGACTTTATTCTTATCTAATTGTAAGATCAATTTACGATCGTACGTATTATTTTTAATGGGAATATAAAAAACAAAACAAATATATATTTTCTTGTGAAATTTTCAAATAGAAAATACGATATATCAATTTCGATAAATATTCGATTAAATCGAACTACCTGACTGTCCAATCCGGTTGAAGAATTATGAAGGGTTTGTGGATGATTGGATGTTGAGGAATTCAATGGTGATCCTGAATTTCCGACGTGACAATTCCCATTGGTACCACTTCCAATACTACTATCGTTTCTATCCATCTTTCGTTATGTATGTGTGTGTGTGTTTATATTTAATTAATAAAATTTAAATCGCGATATAATAACAATGACGATAATGGTTATGTTGATGATGACAACGTCAAGACGTTCTTACGAATGATCCAAGAAACATGATTAACCTCTAAACCCACTATCTAATTAATTATTCTTCTTCCTCCTCCACACAACACTCACACACTTGTAAACAATACTAACACAATATTTTATTCACCCACACAAACAATGTATTTCTTAATCCTTTTTTGATTTGTTTTAAACAAATATCTTTGTCGTGCATCAAATGAAAACAAAACACAAACAAATGGCACTTATTGGAAATATTTAAAATTCCCGGACATTTTTATCATAGGCAATTATCGAAATCGAAATATATATTGATCAAATCGATTAATTCTTATGACGAGATATTCACACACGATTGTCAAATATTTACGTTGTTACAAATGAACGATTTATTATTATTATTATTATTATTATTATTTTCATCAAGAAAATATTAAAATTTCTCGAATGATGAAATATGCAATACTTTCAAGGACACTGAGATTCACGTTTATTCTTATTCTTCAACAGGCTGCTAATTGATCCTGTTTTCTCTCCGGCTACTGAATATATATATATATATATACACATACACACGTACGTATGTGCACACAATTCATAAATATTTTACTTTTTTTTTTACTTCTTCTTTGTTTTTATTTCTTCAAAAGAGAATAAAAAAAAAAAAATGGCAGAAATATACTTTCAGTTTCGTGCTTAACACGCCAATAAATGCATTTGCTTTGCTTCGATAATAAATCACGTTAACTATGTCTAATTTCTCAAGATATTTGTTTGTTCAGAATTCCCGCGTTGAATTTTTTCGATCAGATTAAACAATGCGCAGAAACGTGCGCAGTGAGTATTTCCGATTTTCGTTTATTTCTTCAATAAAGTAATAAAAATACTCTTCTTTACAAATTTCTTAAATGTTTGTTTGCTTTTTTTTTTTTTTCAAGAGAACAATTAAAAAAATATCAAGGTAAATTTCTTCTAATCAGTCTTCGAATTCTCTGAAATTATTTAATAAACAAAAATACGATCATCTCAAAAAGAATAATAATCATCACAGTTCATTGATCCACCTCCCCTTTTAATGCACTTCCTTTCAATTCGTTCTTTTTTTTTCTTTTTTATCTTCTTCTCTTATTTATTTTTCTCACACACACACACACACATACAGTAGTAGACACACGCACACACACTATCTCTTTCTCACTTTTTTCTTTCTTTATAAAAAAAAAAAAAAAGAAGTTTCCTATCTCTTAGTTTCTCCAACACTAACACTAATTCGTTTCACTTTCAACATCTTAATGAGCTATCTTCATTCGATTTATAATCTCTTCTTTTCTTCTTAATTACTTTTCAATGATGATTTGAATGAACGAAAAATAAATTGTAAAATATTACAGATTTATTTAAAGTATGGTCTTCGTCGAAAGTTCGATGTATTAATGTCGTTCTTGCCGAAGGAAACGTTGAAAAGATCAGTATCTCTTCTTCCACGCTTCATCTCCAAATGAAGAAAGAAAGAGAGAGAGAGAGAGAGATAGAAAACTAAAGGAATGAACGATCCCGAAAGAGATAGAAAGATAAGTATTCGACCACTGTCACGAAAAATCACAAATGCGTATCCTTCTTCTTCTTTTTTATACTTTCTTCTTTAATTTTTAGTTTATAATCAAGTATATATATATAAATATATATATCACTGGGATAAACAACACACTTTCTTCTTTATCAGTAAGGAGTTTTTAACAATAAAAAGAAATGGAGTAAGAATAAGAAAAAGAAGAAACAACTGAGGAATAAGAATAAGAATAAAATAACTGAGAAATGAGAATAAAAAGAATAAGGAAGGTAAAGGACGTTCTTTCGTTATAAGGAATCCTGGTTATACAAGCCGTGTCTTGTTTCTTCTATCGAAGTGGTAGACTGGTCCGTAGCAGGTCGGTTGAAGAAGGACGAGGTCTCTCCAAGTGTAGGCAAAGAATACACTTACACATAATATAACACTGTGTATGTGTATCTGTATAATACTCTTCAAAGAGAAGAGAAGAGAAGAGAAGAAAAGAGAAGGCAAGAAAGAAAGAGAGAGAGAGAGAGAAACGAGAAAGTACGATATGCGGGATATGCCAGAAAAGAAGAGAAAATAAGAGAGAAGAGAAAAGAGAGGGGGGTCAGAGTGAGAGAGAATAACACCGGTTTTGCTTGATTCTACTTGTCCGTAGTTGGCAAGACTGCAACTAGGGGTCACCACTATAGGAATGGCTTTCTTCATCCTCCTCCTCCTCCTCCTCCTCATCGTCTTATTCTATACGTATTCATGTATTTTATATATTTATGTATGAAAGATAGTGTCTCTCTTACATACACCAACTTAAAATCAGAAACGTTAACTCTCTGTGAATATGACACACCTTACACCACCAGCTGGAATTCTCTTCTCCGATGTCGCACTTAGGTGTGTCTCCCTTCCGTATCTCTATCTTCCTCTATTCTTCTTCTTCTTCTTCTTCTTCTTCTTTATTCTTTTATTCTTTTTTTTTTCCATAAATATATATATATGTATCTACTCTTTTCTACTTTAATATCCTTTTTTTTTCTAATATTTTGTATCACTTAAAATTTCTTCATTTTGGGTAACATTTACCCACGTGTATCTTCAAATAATTCCTAAATGAATTTTAGAATTTTTTCTTATTCGTATTTATAAATCATTTTTTGTAGTTATTTTATTCATTATTGAGTAATAGTCATTTGGAAAGAGAAACTTTTTGATATATATATAGAAAAAAATGTTATTTCTTGTATATATCAGATACTTCTATTCTACCTGTTGTGTTTCCCGTTCACAGAGAAATATCTGAACATATTATATACCTTGTGAAGGAAATTCGTTTGGAATAGGTTTCTTGGGACACGGCATGGAATGCATACGCGCCGATCCTTCCAAAGTGATGATTCACGCGGTTCTCTCTCTCTCTCTCTCTCTCTCTCACTTTTTCTTTTTCTCTTTCTCTCTCTCTCTCTCTCTTTTTAGAGTGTGGTAGAAAGGGAGAATGGGGAAACTACAAGAGTGGGCCGTTTAAATCACGTTGTCCGTAACTAAACTGGAATTCTCTTGCAAGTTTTACGCACTTCTGCAGTATATATATATATATGTGTGTATGTATATATATATATATATATATATATATATATGTATAAATATTCTAGCTAAAAAAGACAATGAAAAGTAAATGATAATTAAATATTGAATATTTAAACATTCAAATATTTCTTTTGAATAATTCAGCTAAACGTTGAAACGTTTCAAGACCAAAAAGAGATAAGTTCAATTTTTCTTAATATGTACACACATATATATATATATAAATATATATATGTGTGTGTGAATACATTTTACAATGAACTATTCGAACCTTCCTTCCGCAGGTAGAGGAATTCTTATTGTGAACCATTCACAGGTAGACGAATTTATCACAGCAGGTAGTAATTCCTCTCCTGTCGCAGGTAAAATGATCTAAGGTAACACGAGAAGCCCCCTTGCTTGGAAGATTCTCCTTTTTCAATATACTTCTCCCTTTTTTTTTTGGTCTATACCATACTATTCTTTTGTTATTCTAATCTTTTATCTATTACTATGCACCTAACACAAAGTCTAATAATTAACCCAAAACCATTTGTTTGTATCTTAAATTGTAACTAAAAGAAAAAAAACAATTCAACACTTTTACTCTTAAATAACCTTTAAATGAATAGGGTCAAGATTTAACGAAATTTATTTAACTAAATTCTGGGGGTAGCTGACAAAAACAAACCACTTTCCAAATTTGAACAATTAAAATGGACAGAAAAATGGATGTTTGTCAAACCTAACCTAACCTAGGTAAATATAATATATTTTCAGGTATAGATAGTCTTTCTATGAATTTGAAATATCTTCCTTACTTCCTTACTTCTTTATCTTAAATCTTTCTAACCTTAAATTTTTCTAATGCTGCAGTTTTATTTACAGACTATGAAATAGCTTTGTTTATGAGAAACGTGGATAGTCTAGCGGCTAGTCGAAGAACTAACTAATATTTTGAAGTGTGTGTGTGTGTGTGAGAGAGATAATATGAGTCTACACATACAAACACACACATCTGCAACACTTAGTTATCAGGAGTGGGGATTACGAAGCACCGCATAAAGAGGAGACCACGAAAATAAGTAACACATGCATAATGTCTTCTATCTCATTCTCTCACAGGCTCAATCCTATATGTTTGTCTCTTTTTCTCTTTTTAGTATCATCATCGTTTCATCGTTTCGTTGTCAAAATTTGAATAATTATTAGAAGAGGCCAGACAAATGAAAATTTACTATAGTTTCCTATATACAATCATAATAAGTAACTTCCGGTATCTACCAGATTAAACACTGAACGTCCTTGAGAGGCCAAATACCTGTTGTGTTGCAACTTTGCAGATCGATATCTCGCATTTAACTTTCGTAAGAATATAAATGGTCAAGTGGGCGATTGTTTTTGTAACAATTCAAAACAATTATAAAAGAAATTTGCATATCAAATCGATGAATTATAAATTATTTATTTTGCGTTGATTATTTGTTGGTAAAAATGTAAACTTAATTTTTGTTTTTTTTAATAACATAAATTACACATAGAAAATGTTTGTAGATTAGGTGTGAAATTTTTGTTGAAAAATAATTCGTGTGTAATAAATTAGTTAGAAGTGACATAAATTGGCACTATTCTTTTTATTTCTTCTACGTTGTCATAAGAATGCGGATGTATTATTATGGTAAAGCCTTAATCAGCTTATCTCGCAAGGTATACTAACTAGAGTATTAGAAAAGAAACCTTTTATTTATGAGTAAAGTTAGGTTATAAAACAAATGTTTAATTATAAAAGTATTATTTGAATATTTGAATATTTTCACTTTTTTTTATATATCAATATAAATATAAATATATTAATTAATATAAAATTAATATTTTTAATATTAAATTATAAATTAATAATATTTATAATTTTTAACTTTAATATTTTTATTTTAATATTTTTAAAATATTAATGAAATAAAATCCAATTTTAGTTCCATAATTTAATCTTAAATAATAAAAAAAAATTGCAATTTAATTTCTATCATTTTCTAATCATTCGTAGGAATGAAAATAACAAGAAAATGTTTTTATTAACACATTGTTTTTTCTATTAATCTTTTGAAAAATGTATCAGTGAACTTTATCTTACGAGTATTTAAAAGAACAACAATATTTACCATCAAGATTGGCAAATATAATTTTCCCTCATTACTGCAATCATTTCTTAAAGTAAAACTGAGGAAGAATTTCTTATAATGCGTCTAATTAACTTGCATTCAATTAAATTACGAGCTTCCTCATATGTACATCCAATTAAGTGTTATCTTACATACAAAGTCAACGTCAACAATATTTAAGAAAATAAATCAAATAAAAAAAAAAACAATGAAAATTAATCGATCGTTTATATCACACAAATTCATTAATTGAATAACAATCAAGTTGTATAAAAAAAGATTAAACATTTTGATAATTATACTTTGATTCATAATCTTTCTAATTTTATTTGTAAATTGTTCATTTTATTAACAAGAAGAAGAAGAAGAAGAAGAAGAAGAAGAAGAAGAAGAAAAACGTACCGTGCGTTTTCGTCTGGTTCGTTTTGATGTTTTTTTATTATCACCAAATAAAAAATCATCCTTAGGAAGATGTTGTAATCCAGAATAATGTTTTCCAACAACAGTTTTCTTCTTAGTCGTCATTTTTCTCATTCTTTTCGATACCTCGTGTTTTCTTCGATTGTTTTGAAAAAATTTGTCAAATATTTTCATCACTCGTGTTATTTATTATATTATTATTATTAACTATAACACTATATTATTTATTGATTGTTCATAAAGGAACACTGTGATGTATAACAGCACTGATCTTCGTTGAAATATGTTAGTCATGGCGTTGGTAGCCAAGTTGGATTACCATACGTGTTTAGGGGGCGGTTTCGATCATGGCTTATCGCACGTTGTCTGCTGTTGTTTATATCAGATTAGCCCGTTTACTGAATCTTCTATGTAATTCCTAGTTCCATTCGTATAACGTATATTCAATTAATCAATTTTACACGAAGCCATATTGTAAATATGTTTGAAACTAAAAATATATAAATTGTAAATATATTTATTTATATATATATATACGTGTACAATTATATTTTATACAATGTGTAAATTAAATTAATTTTTGATATAAGATCAAACAAAAATTCGAATTAATGAATGACTAAAAAAAAAAAAAAAGAAAAGAAACCAAAATGAATGTTAATTCAAATGAACACTTCAATGTATATTCAATCATTAATCATTTTGTATTTTTACTAAAATTTATATATTGTTATAAATTGACAATTATATTAACAAATAAATTGTTAATATTTTCATAAAGATTATTTTAAACTATCTTATCTTTTAAGAATTGTTTTAAGAGTTCAAAGATCAAATGATATTTACATTCAATGAAACTTGAACTTTACTACTAAACATTGATGTTTAATAGTACTAATTTCATTAGAAAATACTAATGTAATTAGAAAATGAAGAATAAAAAAAAGAAAGAAAGAAAAAAAAAAGAAAAGAAGAATAAAATTGAAGGAATATGATTTGAGTGTAAACAACACGACGGGACTAACACCAAACAGAGGATTGTAGTTCGAGGTAGCACGAGAAAATACTAAAATCGAAGACGTTAATATGTATTAGAAGCCTTAAATGAATGCTTATGTATATAATAGTTCATGAATGATGTTCCTATACCCTCATTCTTTAATTATTTCTTTATTCTTCTTTTCATTCTTGTTTATTTCTTTCTATATTCACACGTGTATCTAAAAAATCAATATATATATACATATATATGGGACATTCCACGTAAAATCGGCCACTTTTGACTTCGACCCCTTTCAATTTGGCTGAAAGTTTTTTTTTTATCCTATTCTACCCTGTGAAAAATAATTTTCAGAATTTTTTGCAAATTTTTTTTACCAAACCCCCCCAAAATTATTAATTTTTGAAAAAATGGATCCTTTTTTTTGTAAATGACTATAATTTTTTCAAAATTCAACCTACTGGGACGTTTTTTTTTTTTTTTTTAAATTTTTGTTTTTAAATGTACTTTTCAGAAAAAAAAATACAAAATAATTTGAAAATTATAAAATTGATGAAATTTTCGCATTTGTTTGAGAAAAGTCGTTATTTTTTCGAAGTTCGCCATTTTTCATTTTTTTTTTCTTATTTTCTAAAAAAATAACTTCGACTAATTCGATTAAACAATTTTACAATATTATATATTTAATTTATGGTCTCAAAAAACGAAGTTTTTCAAAAAAAAAAGAAAACATTTAAAATTTTGAAAATTGAAAAATTTTTTTTCAATCAAATAAAAAAAATAAAATACTAACTCGGCCTACTCTGGAACTGGATAATAATCGCAGAATAAGTCGAAGTTTTTTTTTGAGAAAATAAAACAAAAAAAAATGAAAAATGGCGAACTTCGAGAAAATAACGGTTTTTCTAAAAAAAAAATGCGAAAATTTTATGAATTTTATAATTTTCAAATTATTTTGTATTTTTTTTCTGAAAAGTACATTTAAAAACAAAAATGTCAAAAAAAAAAACGTCCCAGTAGGCTGAATTTTGAAAAAGTTATAGTCATTTACAAAAAAAAGAGCCATTTTTTCAAAAATTAATAATTTTTGGGGGGTTTGGTAAAAAAATTTGCAAAAAATTCTGAAAATTGTTTTTCACAGGGTAGAATAGGATAAAAAAAAAATTTCCAGCCAAATCGAAAGGGGTCGGGGTCAAAAGTCGGGGTCCACGTCAAATTTGACGTGGAATGCTCCATATATATATATATATTGTTACAAATTGTATAGATTAATGACTCGTGTAAAATAATGTAAATTTTTGATAAGAACATTTCTATAGATATAGTTTAGTCTAAAACAAAAAAAAAAAAAAGAAGAAGAAGAAGAAAAAGAATATAAATACACAAATGCTACTTGAAGTGAACAGAAGAACAAATATCGTTAGATAAGATTATACGATAGAATGATTAATATTGTTAGCACAATCTAAGTTTCCGTTATATAAAAAAAAAAAAAAAAAATAACATTTATACATATCTATGGTATAAATTATATTTACAAAAATATTTTTCAAAATATATACATATTAATTTAATAAATAATATAATATCTATATTACATATATTATATAATATTATTATTATTATTTATAATATTATTAATAAATAATATAAAATATTACATTTTTCACAATTAGATTAAATAAGAAATAAAATACCCCCCCCACCCTTTTTCACATTTATTCAATAATTTAACAAATAAATTATCACACTAATTATAACCTCAAATATCTATCTAATTAACATTTCTATTAAGTTATATTATATTTTTATATTAAAAAAAAAATGATGGTTAAATATAAATAGAAAAAAAGATAGCCTTGAATTGATGAGTCAAATGTTTGAACATTTAGAAAAATAAATGATCAAATTATTTGTGATCTTATCTAATAATAAATATCGGAAACACCTTCTATATAGATAATAATATTTGATGAGAAAAGTCCATTATTACAATCATCATCATCCTCATCATCATCATCATTATCATCATCATCATCATCTTCGTCAGAATTGATGTTGCGTGCTACGATACAAATATAATGTGTAAATCTTTGAGATAAGGTACAATACCACTGGGTGAGGGTAAAGAACATGCAGTTCATAAGTTTCTGACACTTTGTACTGACTGTTAAAAGACGGTTTATATATCTGAAATAAAACAGACTGAAGTAAGTAGTCGTGTAAGTTCCATCGATGACAAAACGTTTCTACTGTTCGTCAATTTGATGATCATGGATCCAAATAAAGAAGATGTTGTTAATGGTTGGAGTTTAAAAACTGAACCATTTCTTGGCAAAAATAATGATAGTTCTGTGAAAAATGACAATTCTGTTAATGATGAAAACAACGAAGATGTGGAGACTCAAAATTCATACAAGGGAAGAAAATTATTTCAATACGTTGTCACATTTGGTGGTGAGTTTTGTATAACAACGTTTTACTTTTTTTTTTTTTTTTATTTTAAGTTTCCAACTCATTCTGGATTTATGTAAACCAATAAAGATACCTTCAAGTCGTGAACTATAATAAACTTAATTAGAGATAAAATGTCGTGTATAGTTTGATTATATTTTTCAATTTCAATGAGAATCTCTCTAGCATTCAAAACTTATCTCTGTTATCAAAAGTTTTGTTAGTTTCCTAAAAACTATTCCATTACATACTCTTGCATTGCTATCTATCTATATATATATATATATATGTACATAAATAATACAGATTACATATCAAAATATAATTGCATTGTATCTTCAAATTTTGATCAGCTGATTTTAGTTTCATTCCTAATATATATAGAAAATATAAATGTGAATTATATATCAATGAATTATTTTCAGCAAGCTTGACGGGTATGCAAAGTGGAATGAATTTAGGATGGACATCACCAATCTTACCATTCCTTGGTTCAAAACAATCCTTCATTCCTAATTTAACGGAGGATCAAACATCTTGGATTTCATCGTTATTAGCTTTGGGAGCAATATTGGGTGCAGTGCCAGCTGGAAAAGTAGCTGATTTTGTTGGTAGAAAATTAGCAATGGGCTTAACAGCAATACCCTTTTTAATATCATGGATTATATTGATATTTACGAGAAATATTATTGGTGTATATGTGGCACGTTTCATTGGTGGTATTGGTTCTGGTGCTGCATGCGTTTTGGTACCGGTTTATATCGGTGAAATAGCACAAGCATCGATAAGAGGAACACTTGGCATCATTTTTCCTTTATTATTTTCAATGGGTATATTATTTTCATATGTCATGGGTGCCTATCTTTCATACACGATCTTCAACGTCTCTTGTTGTTCAGTATTAATCATTTTTCTCGTTATCATTATCTTTCTACCGGAATCACCTATGTGGTTGGTACACAAGGAAAAAAAATCTGAGGCAGTTAAAGTATTACAAATCTTACGTGGAATTAATTACGACGTTAAAGAAGAAATTTCAATGTTGCAAGACGAGTCTGACAGAGTTGAGACTAAAAGAGGTGGTATCATGGATTTAATTGGTACTAAAGCTGGAAGAAAAGCATTTTTTACTTGCCTTGGTCTTATGTGGTTTCAACAGATGTGTGGAATAGATGCCGTTTTATTTTACACCGTTAGAATATTTCAAAATGCTGGTAGCACCATAGAACCATTCGTAGCAACAATCATTATTGGTTTAATCGAGGTCATTATGACAATATGTGTTGCTTTCATCATCGACAGGTAAGAGGGATGATCAACATCCTCTATCAAAATATATAATATTAATCATATTTTACATATACATATATATCATCATACACTTATTTTGAAATTAATTCTAGATTTGGAAGGAAACCATTACTCCTGATATCTGGAACAGCAATGACACTGTGCCTAGGTGTCCTTGGTTATTACTTTAAAATAAAAGCCGATCAAGAAGATGTACTTTTTCTTGGCTGGTTACCATTAACAAGTCTTTCTTTATACAATGTTGTATTTTCAATCGGTTTCGGATCGGTGCCATTCGCAATGATAAGCGAACTTTTCCCACCGGAGACCAAAGGAGTAGCAAGTAGCATCTCAATCATGGTACATTGGTGTCTTGTATTTGCTGTTACCAAGTTATTTCCAATGATGGAAAATACCATGGGTGAAGCTATTACTTTTTGGACCTTTGCTTGTTTCACTGCTTTGTCAGTTGTATTCACATTTTTCTTCGTCCCTGAAACGAAAGGAAAGACTCTTCAGGATATACAAAAGAAACTGGAACGAAAACATAAGTCAATCAAAGACGTACAGTCTGTTTGAAAAGTCTATATCTCTCTGTCTCTCTCATTCTCATATGGAATTTTATCTCAACCATATTATACTGAAGCTTTGTGCTCGGCAAACAAAAAACAAACAAAAAATATGATATACAATTTGTCACTGAGATTAAAGTTTTTATGTTTTTATGTTTTTTTTTTTTTTTCTGAAAACAGGTTAGAAAGAGAGAGAGAACATGATAATAGCCTATTTTTAGTAAAAGTACTTAAAAGAAAGAATGAGAGAGAAAGAGAGAAAGAGAGAGAGAGAGAGAGAGTTAATGAGTTGTAATATAATTTTTCTTATCTATCGTTTGTTTATATTGAATAAAATAATTTTGTATTTGTTTTATTTTATTGTTGTTGTTGTTGTTGTTGTAATAATTAAGAATAATTTAATTATTTAATTTCATTTCATTTCTTTCATTCGTCGCATTAATTAGTATTATAAATGATGAACGCTATTGTATGTAATCTTTCTTTCGACAAAAATAACTTTGTTGTATATATGAAACAATCATAATGATTATAATTATTTGTACAGAAAAGATACAGTAATATTATTTATAATATTGTATGATTATTCGTAGATATAATAACACATGTTATAACCTAATTAATAATAATATTATACACACACAAATAATTACATCTAAGATTACTAGATAATAAAAAGATAAATCAATAAAATTACAAATAATTGTTTACATGTATATTGAAATTGTTTGTAATATCAAAAAAAAAAAAAAAAGATACTCTATCTATTTATAATTAAATTAAATACAATTATATTATTAATTTGTTATAATTAATAATAATTATTATTAAAATAAAATTACAATAAAATTCATTAAAATCAAGTACATAATATCGATAATTGTATTATGAAGTATTATAAAAAAGTGAAAAAAAAACACACACACACACAGATTTGGTTTTTTCTATAAAGAATCAAATAAAAAAAAAAAAAAAAAGACAGACAAACAGAATTTAAATTAAAAGATGAATAATGTTATCATGATATAATAGATTATTTTTTTTTGAAACGATTTTTCTATTTTAATACTTACATTAGATATTTTTTAAATTGACCTTGAAACTTAAGTTATTATTAGTCGAATAAATTACATGTTTCCATTGATATGCACAAATGTATTTTTTCTTCGTATTAATCACATGTTATTATAATTCATGTATTGTCTATGCAAAAAAAAAAAAAATATCAATTTCCTTGATGGAAAAAATGGTGTCATTGAACTTCTCATAATCAAACGTATTAATCTGTACTCTATGAAGATAGTACAGTAGATTATTCACTGGCTACATAATAATCTTGCATTATCATATCTGTAAATATTAAATGAATGATATCATACATTTAGTTTGGTATATTCAACTTGTATATTTGAATCGGTTATTATGAAAGTTGTATTTTATTGTAAGCCATATATATTTTTTTTCTTAAATTACAAGATATATGTGTTATCTGACATATTAGGGTTTTAATTGTTTAAAAAGTATTTCTTTTTGTTTTTATTATAAGACAAAAAACATGACTAATCTAATATATATATGTATATATATTAGATTATTGAAAACCAAATATATTTTATGCATAATTAAAAAATCTACAAAGTATAATTATTTTAAATAATTTATAATAATACTGAATAAATATAAATATATAAATATATTTATATAAATTTATACATTTATTATTATCATATATATATTTATATATTATATTATTTTAATATATATAAATAACGTGTAACGTTGTTTGTTCGTAATGGACTCCTAAACTACTTAACCAATTGTAATAAAATTTTGCACATTGTGTGTAGTTTCATCTAACTTGAAAGATAGGATAGTTTATATCTCAATTTATTATCACAATATTATTTTATTGCGAATTATTTGCTTATTAATTAATTAGAGTCATGATTATCTCTGTTAGTTCGATAAGATTCTAAAAGATGGCAGTGTAATTATATATATATATTATTTATTAATTTCATATATAAATATATTAATTAATATAATTAATACTATATATATATTAGGGTGGGTCAAAAAAATTGATTATTTTTTTTTTACAAGTGCCACGAAAAAATGGGTTGGTAGACACCTTAAAAAAATTCTCATCAAATATAAGCTCTTAATTTTAATAGGAAGATCCTCCACATCGCAGATTTTTATTTTTTTCTCAGTCCAATAGAATAAAATTCATACCTGATTATTTATTAATTGTACAGAAAAATGTTCTAGACAAATTTTGTAGGAAATTTAATGCTCTACAAAAAAGGTATCTTATATTTTTTCCGTAAACCTCACCATTTGAATGATATTGAAGATTTAAGTTTGATTATTTTAAGACAAATTTCATTTTTGTTTATGAATTTTATAACTCGATAATAAATGACTATTAAAAAGTGCACAATAAAAATTTTTGTAGGAAATTAACTGCTCTATAAAAATGGTGTCTTATGTTTTGGCGATTAAATTAAGCGTTCGAAAGATATTCATCATCAAACTTTCACGTGTACTGATTTCTGTCTCTGAATATCTTTTGATATACATATATATATAGAATATGAATTTGTTTATGTTAAATACAAACTACACTAAACTTTCAATATCATAATAATGTTTTATGTTTTTCTATTTTCCTATACTTTAATTTAATAATAAAAACAAATGTTTATATTATTATCGTTACCAATGTCACAGATAATGTTTTTAATTACGAATTTCGATGTATTTCAAATAATCGATATTAAACTCGAGACTCGAGATAAAAATTAAATAAAAATCAATAATTTATACTTTTCTCAAGTAATTTTTCAGGAAAAATATATGATTTGTTTTTACAGAAAAATTGTTATCGAATAAATCATATAAACTTGGTATAATTAATTTTTAACGAATTAATATGTTATAACTTATAATAAGTCCGTATAATTGCTGTAAATGATGTTTGTAAATAAATCGTAGTTCGAGATTCGATACTTGAGAGTCGAAAAATTCAAAAATTTTTTTTTTTTCGAATTTCATATTACTTTCAATTTAATCTCAACAGAACGATCAATCTTTGTTCGATTTTGTCAGTTAGTGGGCTTATTTGACAGACAAGCATTACTTACAATGTGCTAATTATATTTTATTTAATTTCAATTAATAAAAAATCATTTTAAATTACCTATTTCATCTTATGATATCTGATCATATATATCGAATTTTTTAAGTATTGTTTGTTTTTATTCATCTTTTTGAACTTTTTTAAACAATACGTTAACAAAAAAAAAATAAATTTGAGAAAGTTAGATTTAATAAAACTACAATTAATGTGGTGACAAAAAGTAATGATAATTGATATTTTAATCTCCAAAGTGTATTTAATTAATTTTATTTAAATAACTTTGATCGTTTTAGGTTTATTTCATATGATATATATAGATCCACGAAAATAAATACATATATATGTAGACATATATTTATGTATATTTAAATTGAATATATATATATGCATATATATTCAAACAAATACATATAATATATAAATCTATATATTTATTTTATAATTTTATAAAAATTATAAGCAAGGTAATTATAAGCAAAGGTAATAATTTTATTAATTTTTCATTGTATTTCTAATATGTTAATTTATTTTTTCTATAAATATAGATGAGCGACGAAGATCTTGTTCAATGTCCTTATAATCCTAATCACCAGGTTCCTAGATCTCAAATAGACGAGCATGAAAATACATGTAAATTATTGATGGATCCTAATCAAGAAATGCAAATTACAATGTCATCCGACGACGAGGTAATACATTACATTTGGTTTCTTCAAATTACGTAGTCATCAAGTGATATAAGACAAATATTAATTGATATTGAATTAAAACAATAGCCAAGACCCTCAACATCTTACCAGGAGTCACTTCAGGAGGAGAGTTCACTACAGGAGGGCAGTTCACAACAGGGAGGAAGTGAAATGGCAACTCTTCCAATTTCTGAGGGTAAATCTCCTCAAGAATGGAGATCACCAGACATACCAGTAAAACAGGTAATATCACCAAATAGATGACAAATGGTATGAAAATAATTGTTTGAATGAAATCAGACATATATTAATTGAAATTGATTTAATACCAGCTAAGACCTTACCCAAAACCGCTTCAAAGTAGTGAAACCTCAGCTGAAACAGATATAGACTTATGTGAATCAGAATGTTCTTCAGATAATCAGTCGAAATTACGGATGACAGATACACGTAAAAAAAAATATAATAAAATAATAAATATAAGAAGAAAGGTAAATGTAATAATTTATAATTAGAATGATTTGAAATTTTTTCCCTTTTTTATTTTCTTATAAAAATCATTTCTTTTGATATAATAGTCACTTAAGAAGCTAACATTAGACAGTCATACTGAGGACACTTCTTCATCAAGCACTGACTCGACATTTTCACTTCATGACACTATGCCAGATAAAGAGAAAAAAATTACACATAATTTGAGTGAAGAATATGTGGAACAAATGGCTCCAGCTTCACAAGATGAATCTAGTTCACAACAAGCAACTAGTTCACAACAAGCAGCTAGTTTACCACAAGCTACTATTTTACAACCGCCAAAATTGACATTGAAAAAGGAAGATGAAAAAATGGAAGTTAAAAGTAGGGTGACTCCATCATCAAGTTCATTGCCACAAGTGCCTACTTCATTAGAAGTTCCAATGGATGAATCTTCTTTGTCTGAAGAGGTTTCACAAGAACAATCAGAACCAATTAGTTCTTATGTTGAAACAGCAGATGATTCGGATAATGCAGAAGGAACAACAGAGGAAGAAATGTCACATCTTCCGACAGATATGTCTATTTCATTAGAAATTCATACGGAAGAATATTCTCTATCTGAAGAGGATTTACAAGAACAATCACGACCATCTTGTATTCCTGGTCAGAGTACATATTATTCGGAAGTTTCACAACAGCTAGGTAGAAAAAGGAAAAGGGAACATGAAGAAATGGATACAGAAGATATAATAAAGTTTAAGGCACCACATCTTCCGACAGAAGAACCTACTCCATTAGAAGTTGAAACGGAAGGACCTTTTTTGTCTGTAGATGTATCAAAAGAACAATCCCAACCATCTAGTTCTTCTACTGAGACAAGACAAGATTTGGATGATTCACAACGGCAAATTGGTTCTAGTAAAGAGAAATATGCCGAAACTTCTATAGAAGAAACAGTGGAGACTGAAGAGTCACATATTTTGGCAGAAGAGACAACTTTACCAGAGGTTGAAACGGAAGAACCTTCTCTGGCTAGAGATGTTCCACAACAAGAATCACAACCAGTTAGTTCTCCTGCTGAGACAATACATGAATTAGATTTTCCACAAAAGGCAAGTAAATTAAGGAAAAGGTCATATGCAAGAACGGATATGGAAATAGGTAGTTTACAAGAAGGAGGTAGCTCACAACAAGCAGATAGTTCAGAAGAAGCAGATAGCTCACAAAGGGAAGTTATAAAAAGAAGAAAACGTTCTGATTCTTCTTTAACAACAGATGAAAATAAAAGTAAAAAAATTGGATTGGAAGAACCTTCTTCGTCTGTCCCAAAAGAACAATCCAAACCAGTTGTTTCTTGTGGTAAGACAAAACATGAATCAGATGTTCCACAAAGTGCAGCAAGTAGGTTAAGGAAAAGGTCATATGAAGCAACAGAGTCCAAAGTAGATAGTTCAGACGATCCTGGTGTCTCATATCAAGCACATAGTTCACAAGAAGAAGATAGTTCACAAAAAAAAAAGAGAAAAGTTCGTGATTCTTCTTCATCATCAGATTAATTTTAAGATGAAAAAAAAAGATATAATATAAATCGTATTATTGTCTAGGAGACTTAAATGTTTTCTATGTTATTTATACACTTAAATCGTTAATGTTTTATGTAATTTGTATTATATATTGTATATATTTTTATATAAATTATTCCTTATATAAATGTATTTACTATCGTCATTAATTATATAGATATAATTTGTATATTTATAACGATTACATTATAAATTATAATTTTATTATAATATTTGTTATATATTATAAAATAATAATATATTTCTATCAAATAATTAATGTACGATCATCTGCGAATATAAAAACTGTCTTTTATTAAAAAGAACAAATTATAGAAACAACTTTAAAGGAGATATATATATATTAGCTTATATATATTTATATACATATTTATATATAAATATAGTATAAATTATATAAAACTTAGCGATTAAAAATATTATATTACATAAATATAGATTTAATATGGATAAATATAATATATAATAAATTAATAATATAATATGATATCAATGATTAACAACTATCATGTATTAAATATAATTTTGTATTTCTTACATTTCATATTTAAAGCAATGAAAAAATCTTTTATATTATTATTAAAAAAGTTTGACCAACACTTTTTAATTCTTTGATTTTTAATATTTCTTGTTGGTCTTGCTTTTATATTCTTAAAAAAAAATCTTTATTGTAAAAAATACAATTATAACATGTGTGAACTAAATAAATTATTTTACATAATATTTTAATTTGATTTTTTCAATTATTTTCTTTTCTTGAGTTACCATCTCCTTTCATACAATTTATGTTAATGATTTAATATTTTTTATTATATATAAAATATTATTCTATATATTAATTGAATATATTAAATGAATGTATTATATTAATTTAATTGGACATATCCGTTAATTTTATGAATTTATTTATGTTAAATATAAACTATACTATAATTTAAATATCATAATAATATTTTATTTTGTTCTTCTTATACTTTAATTTAATAATAAAACAAATGTTTATTATTGTCGTTAACAATGTCACAGATAATATTTTTAATTATGAATTATAATTATTTCAAATAATCGATAATAAACTTAAGACTCGAGATATAAATTAAATAAAAAACAATAATTTATACTTTTCTCAAGTAATTTTTCAAAGAAAATATGTGTTTTGTTTTTTTCAGAACAATTGTTATCGAATAAATCAAATAAACATGATTTAATTTATTATTAACGAATTAATATACTATAATTTATAATATGACCTTATACCTAAATGATGTTTGTAAATATATCGTAGTTCAATGATTCGATACTTGCGAATCGAACGATTCAAGAATTTTTTTTTATTCAAATTTCATATTATATTCTATTTAATTTCGACTGAACAATCAAATTTAGTTCGTTCTTGTCAGTTAGTGAATTCATTTGACAGACAAGCATTACTTATAATGTGCAAATTATATTTTATCCAATTTTCATTAACAAAAAAGCATTTTAAATTACGTATTTCATCTGAAGATATTTGATCATATATATCGAATTTTTTTAAATATTCTTTGTTTTTTTTTTTTTCATTTTTTGGTACTTTTTTAAAAATAATACTTTAACAAAAAAAAACACGTAATAAATTTGAGAAAGTTATCTTTTATACAACTACAGTTAATGTTGCGACAAAAAGTATTTATAATTAATATTATTATTTTGCAAAGTGCTTTTTAATTAATATTATTAAAATAACTTTTACCATTTTAGGTTTATTTCTATGATATATAGATCCATGAAAAGTTATTCAAATAAATATATATATATATATATATAAAAATTGAATATATATATATATATAAATATATGCATTTATTAAATCAAATACATATATTATATATATCTATATCTATCTACATATATTTATTAAATATATATATATATATATATATATATATATATA